GGACACCAGCAGTGACACACCTGGGAGACAAATGAATAGAAATGCTAATGAATAGAAATGCTACATGGCCAACGGAAAAGGGCGGACACCAGCAGTAACGGACCTGGGAAACAAATGAATAGAAATGTTTCATGGCCAACGGACAAGGGCGGAGGGAGACAAATGAATAGAAATGCTTCATGGCCATTAGACAAGGACACACCAGTGACAGACCTGGGAAACAAAAGAATAGAAGTGCTACATGGCCAGCAGAAAAGGGCGGACACCAGCAGTGACAGACCTGGGAGACAAATGAATAGAAATGCTACATGGCCAGCGGAAAAGGGCGGACACCACTAGTGACACATTTGGGAGACACATGAATAGAAATGCTGCATGGTCAGCGGAAAAGGGCTCTGCGGTGGTAAGTACACTGAGACTAACCAGATCGAGCACGCCTGGTAGCAGACACAGGCAGCAATGGCAAAATGGTTTACCAAAGTCTTTTCTACATGAGGATTGCCACACCAGCCTGCGGATTTGGGTCGTGCTTTGCAAGAGAAGCAGCAGACCTGGGAGACAAATGAATAGAAATGCTACATGGCCAGTGGAAATGGGCGGACACCAGCAGTGACACAAAGGGCGGACACGTCTTAAGAAAGAATTGAGAACCCCTAACAGTAAACTGCTTGGGGAAAAAGTGGGAGACACATGAAAGGAAGTGGGAGACAAGCCGGCCGGAAACCCGACTACAAGCACCCAGCTGGGAGACAAATGAAAAGAAGTGGGAGACAAACGAAAGGAAGTGGGAGACAAGCCAGCCGGGAACCCGACCACAAGCACCCAGCCTGAAAGGAAGTGGGAGACAAATGAAAGGAAGTGGGAGACAAGCCGGCCGGGAACCCGACCACAAGCACCGAGCCTGGGAGACAAATGAAAGGAAGTGGGAGACAAGCCAGCCGGGAACCCGACCACAAGCACCCAGCCTGGGAGACAAATGAAAAGAAGTGGGAGACAAATGAAAGGAAGTGGGAGACAAGCCGGCCGGGAACCCGACCACAAGCACCCAGCCTGGGAGACGATGAAAAGAAGTGGGAGACAAATGAAAGGAAGTGGGAGACAAGCCAGCCGGGAACCCGACCACACGCACCCACGACCACAATCACCCAGACCCAGCCTGGGAGACAAATGAAAAGAACTGGGAGACAAATGAAAGGAAGTGGGAGACAAGCCGGCCGGGAACCCGACCAGACCATCCAGCACCAAGGCGACCATTCTTTAAAGCATTGAGAACCCCTAACAGTAAACTGTTTGCGGAACAAAAACGAGAATAAGAAATTGTTTGCGTGTGACATAATCGTTTTACCTGGTGAAAAAGCAGGTGACAGTGCAAAAACATGTATGTACATAAAGCCGCAGAAACTAATCCATTTTGGACTCGAGGCGCGAAGGGGGTACCTGCATATCAAGCACAAAGGCAGTGACATTGCTATAGAAAGGTTTGTTTACTTGCGCAAGGACAAGTGTCATTGCAAAACTTTTCTGCGTGCACCTAACATACCCAGAAGTCAATCAAACACTAGAACCACAAAGCTTTACTGTAACTGTACCTATATATATATATATATGTTTTTTTTGTTTTTAAATATATACACATGAATATACTTCTGCTGCTTCTTTGCTGCTGTAATTGGATGGTCCAACTCTGCAGGAATTGGACGAATCCAACACAATTGGTCCGAACCGCTCCTGTTGGTCATCTGAGTAGACCTTGCGAACTTTCTGGGCCGTGACATCGTTGATCCACGACATGACGCTCTGGACTTTTCCTTGAGCTGTCTCTCTCTCTCTCTCTCCCATCACATGTCGCACTAGTCTCTCGGTATGTTTACGAAAAGGCGTTCACCGGGTTCACTTATCTGATTCAGCTCACAAGTACGGAACTGTGCATCAAAGCTTAGCGGGCCATACTGCCTGCTGGGCCGAAAATCCGTTGCGCACCGAGCATCCATAGACTCCGGGGAAGTTGGCATAAGCACATCCTTTCGTGGGGGCCGCGATGGCTGAATCAAAGTTGAAGTACAAACATGTTCCCAAAAACATGAAATAGCACACGCTTTCACAATACGGGTGACAACATGCCAGACCTTCATATACTTTCATGTCTTTCACACCTCTGGCTTTTGACCTCTCCTCAAGCTCTCAGACCTTCTTCCTTCTTTAGACCTTCTTCAGACCTCAAGACATCTCACGTCTCCGATGGGTCTTTCACCCCGTCCTTGACCCCAGGAGGTGACGCCACGGAGGACGAAGCGCCCATCTTCTGCGCAGCTCAATGGTCCTCCGGAGTCACCTTGACAGGTGTCCACGATGCCCTTCTCGGAGACCCCCGAGGCGCAAAGCATGGAGCCAGTGATGATGTCTCTGGTCTTGGTGTAGTTCCTGGTGGTGAAAAAAGGTGATATGTGATGAATGCCTGGATAGATAGGTCATGATAGATTCATGATTCCATGATCCTATCATGTCCAATCATGTCTAAGAGTCTAAGATTCGAGTCATAGTTTTTTGGAGACGTCTTAAGACAATCAGTGCAGTGCAACTGAGATTCACTTCACAGTCGGCACTTGTAAGCAGCTTGACTGAGGCTTCTTGAAGCACCTTCGGCTGCGGATGCTAGCAAAGCCATTTGAATGCAACAAGAAATTGGTGAATGAAACTGGGAGTTCTCCGGACTGCTGGTCCAAGATCGTCCAAGCTCTCGAAGTTGACAACTAAATCATCACTGCAAGTTTGTGTGTGGTGTGGCCTTCATAATTGTTCATATATCGTTTTTAATACATGCCTACAGCAACAAATACGCGTGGAGATCATGAAGAGAAGAGAGCAAAGACATTACCCTCAGATACCAACAATGGCCAAAATGTCGTTTGCTTCTTGAAACTTTTGTGCGACGGCCCATCTGCGACGCCAAAGAACCTCTGGAGTTTTGCCAAAGGATTTCAAGGTGCCCCAGCCAGTGATGCTGCAGTTGGTCCCCGGCATCTCATCTCGATGTGGCAAACAGGCCACGCCGACGCACTCATTCAAGGGCATTGCCTGCGGGTGCCGAGGCTCGTTGGTCGAAGGACGGCTGCCGTGAAGCAATGCCAAGGGTGTCAATGATGCATGATGCATGATACTCACGAAGCGTCTAGCGTCTTAGCCATTCCGCGGTTCCGCTCAAACAGGGGACCTTGTCAAGCTCTAGGATGGCGAAGTCATAGTCATGCGGTACGTTCTGATTGTAAAGCGGATGCATGAAGATCCTCAGGTCTCCACGCACGATAGCGATAGCGAGACATAAAACAACGCTGTCTTGCACCACCCTAGCACTCCATGCTGAAACAGTGGGAACAGAACAAAAAGAAACCTTAGAAGTCTTGATGTGAATGACCTCTCAAGTTGTGGTGAGGAACATAAGCAAACCCCTAGTTGACTAGGATTGGCTCAAGAGTCTCGCAACATTAATAGGATAAACCTCAACATATTGGCTCGATCGTGCATCCATCTAAAATAGTGGAAATTTGAAAAAGAGAAAGGAGCCACCCATAGGCCGCCGATGTCTTTTGAATGTACATGTGCGTGTGTGTGTGTGTATATATATATACATATACACAACTAACATGCTTTTGTCTGTGCTGCGCTCCTGACGACATTTCTTTGCACGGCTGCCCCGGCAGTTCCAGGGTCACGCTTCCAACTTCCAGCCACCACCTTGAGTGACTTGACAGCACATGGGCCTGGCATGCACAAGGAGCTGACATAAGTTTCAACTCAATGTAAAAAGGTCGGTCGCCATTTATTCATTAATATTCCTTTACAGTATGATTTGCAAATCATATGAACGTTCATGAACAGTTATTAATCGGTGCCAGGAGAATTGTATGGAGTTGCATGGAACCGGTTCTTTGCAGTCCTTTGATGTGTGCGATGCAGTGCGCCGCAGTGATGACGTGCCCCGGAGAGATGAGTGTGCCTGCGGCGTCTGGCCACAGCCACATGACACACCGAAGATATGATATGGTCACCTGGCCCATCATAGCTTAGTGGCTTAGTGCAAAGATGTGCCAAGATAACCAACACAAACAGGCCATCTGCCTTCTGGTGTGGGCGGCCTGCTCGATCAAAGCTAAAACTGAGAAAACGGCAAAGGCCTCCACAGAATTGACCTGTGGACGTGCTCAGACTCACTTGCCATCGCCAAACGCATTGATTTGCATCCTGGCAGGGCCATATGTGCGTGCGTGGTGTTGTCTTTCTACCTCTTCCCCATCCTCTCTCAGCAATAGCTGCACTAATTACTAAGCCAAGTTGTCAACAATTACCGGAATTACCGAGCATCCCTCTATGTATGCATATGTATAATATATGTAATTATGTAAAAGGTATATGTTCAACTGGTCTGTGTATAGGGCTGCTGAATGTTGCTGATCTGTACACTACTGCTGCACTACTGTCCACCCATGTTACTACCGATGCTGTGCTACTGGACCGACAAGCCACAGAGCCTTCCTACTTGAGTCAACAAGAGCATGCAAGAGCCCTCGACCATCCTCAACTACTTCCTGGTTTACTTTAGCTTGCCATTACGCTTCCCAGGAGTCCCTGGAGTCCCCCCATGTCCTGGCCATGTACAATTCGCTGCTTCTGCTCATGAGCCGGAGCCTTCCCCAAAATGCCACACTGCTCCCAGCCAGTTCTGTCACCTCCCCGAAGGTGTCCAGTGCTCGGGGCCACGAGGGTCACCAGTACGAGAGCCGACCAACGCATGGCTTTCTTTTTGCGTTGTATTTTGCTCCGCGTTTTCACCTGGAGCCAGCTTGTGACGCAATCACCAGCCCTGCAAGATATCATCAGCAACTCTTGAATTTTGTGATTGGAGGCAATCGCTAAATGGCCATTGCTATTAGGTTGGAGGCCATTGCTATTATATAGGTTGGAGTCCAAGCGGGTTCCTTCGACTCACCTCCTTGTTGTGTACGGAGTCTGTGCACAAAGACATGCAAGGATACTGCAACTAGCCTAGCATCGAACTCCATGACATTGGCCTGCTTTCATACTTGGGCCTATTGCCCATTACGTACATCTGTTCCTATTGCCTGATGTAAAACAGGCCAAGTCAAATGCTTTCACAAACTGAACTGGTCCTCATCTCCCATGATGCAAAGAACGTGCTTGATCTTGCACCTAGTATGACAATGTGGCTAATGAAGAGGCAAATTGGACAATGAAAAAGAAAGCAAGAACGCCTATTTCAGACAGAGCACCGAAGAAATCTAAGGAACCAGCTGACATAGCAAATCCAACCAGGACGTCAAGGACTGAGCATTGGGAAGAAAACACCCGGTGCGCACGTCGACCAGCGCCGGTCGCAAGACAGGTTTTCTGGTTGGCCAAAGGGCCAAAGGGGGATCTTGCAGATCTGAGGTGGCAACGTCATAACTTCAGTGTCTTCTTTACCAGCAAAACAGTGTGCAACAAATCAAACCGGTACAGTAAAGTGGTACAACAGCCATTCCCGAATGAATATTATAATATACAAAGTGCTAAAGCGGTATCGGCTGTCTTCGGAATCTGAGTTCGACCAGCCGCAGGTTGATCTGGATGTGGGTTTGAAATTGAAGACCCAGCGAACTGCTGGATTTAGTCATCAGTTCCATTTACCAAGCAGGTTTAGGCATGTTCGAGCCATAGCCAATTATAGCCATCTCTCTCATCCACAAAGCGGTTGGTCTCCAAGTGCCACGCCATCATCCTCAAAGCCTGATCTGTGTCGCCCATGCCTCAGTGCCATGACGACTGCTCGTCGCGCCCGCAACAGGCGGCCCACGGGACTGCTGGCGAAAGCAATGCGATGTGGCACTGAACGGTGAGCTTCAAAAGAAGGCGCACTTGGGCGGCCCACGTTGCTGGCCACAGCATTCAACGGATGCATCTATCGAGCTAAAGATAGCTAAACGATGTTTAAACAATTAAATGCTACACGTATATACTTTGGTGAAATAATCAGCCGTTTTTTACTGGTCACCAACGATTCTCAGCGGCGTTCCTTTTTCCAGTCCATTGATGCCTTCTGCAGCGTTCTTTGGTCATTTGCACGTGGAGATTGCGGATCTTGTTTTGTGCTTTCCGTTGATCTTACTTGCTGTTCATTGATTTTTTGGTTTCCACCAAACTCTGACATATTTGGTGGGAATCCCTTTATATAGGATAATTTAGTGAACAAACATATAACCTGGTGCAACATAAACTTGGAAGGTGTACCCATCCTGAAGACTTCATACCATTGACAATCTTATTACTTTCAGTTGTATGCTTTCTGTTAGAATTGTTTGCAGGCGATGGAAACAAGAAGAACAAAATGAACACCCTGGAAAAGAAGGCAATGTTAGGTCAAGAATATAAACAAAAACATAAGTAAATCAAGAGTCATCAAGAGAAGCAACACAACTGAATAGGAAGTAATCAGGGTCAAATCCCAAGGAGTCGAACGCAAGTCCAAAGGAACTCAACTGAGTTGTGCTTTTTGTGGTTGCTTCTGGGGTAGACAGTTTTGGGATGCATGCACGACCGCCCACGCATGGATAACGTGTCTACAAAGGGTGCCTTTCGTCTCACCTTCGCGCAATTGCTGGTGGGACCTGCGAGCACCTGCGCAAGGGACCTGTTTAAGCAATAGCACACGACCATGATGAGAAAGAACTGGAAGTAGAACGTTTGCTGAAGAACATGATGCTGCAGAAGGGCGCAGCCAGTTCTGTGCCCGAGCATTCTGCAGGCGAGCAGCGGCCGTCTTGCTGGCTGGGCAGTGAAATCTGACCAAGTCTCAGACACGGTGACGAAAGGCTACCCAGATAAGCACCAAAAAACACATTTGAGATGACGAAGGGCTAGCGGATGAAAAAGCTACTGTTCGCCTACGCCTGTCCTTCGCGAGTGCCTTCGCTGGCCTTCGCAGCAGAAGTCTTGGGAGTGGGGAAACGAACCTGCCTCCTCAGAAACTAGAAGCACTTCACTCCATGCATGCCTAGAGACAATGGGCAATGTGTTACTGGTGTGATCATGATACCTAGTACCTCTACCTATGGAACACACACACACACTTCTGCCCTTCAAACAAACATGGAGGTGGACTCTCATCCAAATTGCATCGTGATCATGTATATAAAGAAAAAAACACGTAGCTCAGCTGGAAACCAAAATGACATCAAATGAAAGCAAATTTATTGTTTACAAGATATTTCAGTACATGAATATTCGAGGGATTCCAAAGGACATCAAATGAATGTTAAGTTCAAATCGAACTCAAGTTATAAATCAACATGGACCATGGAGTCAAAAGGCCAACCTGATTTCAAGTAAAACTCCAAAGAAAAAAAAACTGCCTGGAAGCCCCGACCCCAGCCCGGTAGCTCTGCGCAGGGAGCTGCCGCCACGTAAAGGCCTCGCGAGCACAAAAGCAGCGGGTTGACTGTGCGAGTTGACCGTGACGTCGCCAAAGTGGTGAGTCGCGAGTTGACCGTGACGTCCGGGTGTGGCTAGCAAGGAATAGTTGCATCCATGTTTGTGAGGCAAGCAAGAGAGAAACGAGAATACGTCCTAGTCTTCATCACCAATGCCATGATTAGGTGTTCCAAGTCCGTGCCTCGCGCGGAGCGAACGCAAGCTGGTGAGAAGTTGTGGCGCACACCATCCTCCACCTCACTATGGTGTCTTCTAATTGAACACAGCGCAACCACACGGATGAGACAAGACAGAAGTAGACACGTCAGAATGATTCAGAATGACTCAAAGAATCGAAAAGACAAGGCTTTTTGAAATGCCTTGAATGAGCATTGGACATCAAATGGTCCACTCTGGATGTGCCAGCAACTGGCGAGACATGCATGCATGTGAGGGCCCCAAAGTGTCACCTCCAAAGAAAACATCTAAAGTTTAACATCCACCTCATCCAGATTTTCTTCGAGAATAGTGTCCTCTTCCGCGCTAATGTCCACAGAATTGGGCTCCGGGAAATCCTCCCTGGCTTCCTCCTTCTCGATCTCGCCCGATTCCGCTATCTCAGAAATGCTCTCTTCCTCCTTCAGCCGCTTTGACACCTCAGGGACATTCAAAAGACTCTGTGAACCCAGGGTTCCGATTCATTGATGACCATTTCTTTGCATGCTATTCCGGCTATTCCTCTATCTCTCGAGTCAAGCAAAAAGAATGCAAAAACAAAAACGATTATAAGACTATAAGCTCTTCGTGTGCTGATTGGGTGTGAATGTCTCAAAGGAGGCTTTGCGTGAAACACAATGTCACTGATGACTTGAAATGGCAACATTGATGACTTGACCTCCAAACATCTTCTTGGTCCATTCTTGGTCATCTGAAGTCCAAGTTCCAAAAGGTCCCTCCCACCTTAGACTGGGCCGCCTCATCCATGTCCTGCACCATTAAGGACAAGCTTGTCCCGGACATCTGGCTGATCCGGTTCGCAGAGATTCGATAAAAGGAGGTCCGGCTCGTGCTCACACTTTCTCCCAGCTCGCAGTCCTCAGACAAACTTGCAGTCACAACGCTTGTGTGCGCTCAAAGTGCTTGTAAGATCTTGTAAGCCAGACCCATGCACTTTCAGCACGAATCTGACAGTTTCAGCATGTTTCAGCGTCAAAATTGTCTCTAAAAAGCGGATACTTAGCAATTACAAGTGGACAGCTATTGGTTATTGGGACGACATGGAACAATTGTCAACAGAGTTTGACGTCACACAACCAAGAATCAGTCGAGAGGATGTCCAAGGCTTTCTGCACAATGTGAAGGTCATCAGCAGATAGAGTAGTCGACATCTTGTTGACGAGTTCACCCATATCTTGCTTGGCCTTCAAATTGAAGTAAATCTGCTCAATGGTTTCAAGCATCTCTTTCGGGTCTGGCAGCTGTCCAAGGTTCACAATGTGATTCGTGCGGGCAGAGCATCGGAAACGCTTCAACACCATCAACATGATGGACAGGATAGAGACACATACGATGACCCCAAGGCTCAAGTAGTAAACACCAACGCCCAAGATCTCCAAAATCAAGATCGACTCCGCTATCACTGGCTCCAAATGAAGTGACACTGCAAGCAATACCAGGAAGAGCATGGTTGAAATCCCGTCCACCAAGTTGAGGATGGGTGCCTGCTCAACCGAAGGCAAATTCATCTGAAACATCTCAACACAACCGGTTCATTGTCATTGCATGTCATTGCCATATGCTTTTGTCACTGATGTTCACCATAAATGTCGAAGGTCAATGTTTGTCCTGTGATTGCTGCGTTCGCTGCTACTGCTACCCTCCCTCCCTCCCTTCCCTTCCGTTCCTTTCCCTTCCCTTCCCTTCGCTTCGCTTCCCTTCCCTTCCCTTCCGTTCCTTTCCCGTCCCGCCCCGTCCCTTCCCTTCCCTTCCCTCCCTCCCTTGCTCCCTCCCTTGTCATTGCATGATGGGAAATTCGTGCACAAAATATTGATGAATCCTGGCATCCAGCACAATGGCTGCACAGCAGAAATGCACCTTCAAACTAGATGCCAACTGTGTGGTCGCTGCCTGTGCAAATGTTTCTTTGTCTGTGTGGCTGGTTGGTCTCTATTTCTCGTGAGTCGAGAAACATCACCTCACGTGCGCGATGTCCCAAAACATCAAAACTCAATTGTGCATGCCAAGGTTAACGCACTTGCGCACTCAGTGACTCACTTACACAGGTATGCGGGGGCATTGGAGGAACGGGGGCTCGGGTCGAGTGGTGGTAGCTCACAAAAGTATGCTGCGGCTCGTGCCTGCCCTACATTTTACCCTCGGGTGGCTCACAAAAGGCTTGCTACATTGGAATGGCCCCTTCCTGCTTTAACTTTTTTCCTCAGATGGCTCGCAACAGGTATCCTCCAAATTGTAGCTCACAAAAGGTAAGCTACCTCTCTGAAGGTATGCTACATTGGAGTGTCCCTTCCTCCTCTAGTTCTATTGTTGGGTGGCGCACAGCTACGCTACTTTGGAATGGCCCCTGTTTGGCTATGATAGGTCTCTGAGGTGCACCATGGCCCAATCACGGCAGGAATTCCGGTCTTTCTCCATACACGCTCATCGTAAGTAACGATGAGTAGAGTCAAAGGATGTGTGACAAGGAAGCTTCCGAAGGACGTGTGACAAGGACGTCTTCAAGTCTTTTCGTGTCTGACGTGTCCTGTGGAAGCCTCACACAATCCTTGCACAATTGGGAGTGTGTGCCGGTGCAGCCATTGTGGCAAACGATGTTTGGCGTCTTCCAACATGCGCGTGTACAAGCGAGTGCCATGCGAGCGGCGAAACCCGTCTTTTCTTCGCATCACGGGACCCCTATCATCGGAGTCGGACAAACCGCGTTTGTTTCCCAAGTGCCAAACAGTGTCTCCTGCTTGTTCTGCATAAGGGTATAGATATGTATCGATTGTCTCGGTGGGGTTTCTGCGGTTTGGGGCGGATGCCGACCGCCAACGTGGCAAAACGAGGTGCTACCTGGTCACTGACCTTTGCCAGTGCTGGCCAATGGGCAAGCCCGCGTGCACCAAAGGCAAGGGCGAAGCTGCAATGCGGGGCAGGCCACACTGACGGATTATAGAGCAAATGATGTCAAATGATCACACCACACAATATAGAGCAAATTTACACATGCATTGTATTGATGTGAACACTGAGTCGATTCGGTCTCAAAACTGGCTGCTGTCCTGCCTTCCAAGGTAAGCAAACGAGCTGAATCGAATAGTAGGACAGCCAAACACAAATCAGCAAGGCGAGATTGACGCCAGGTAAATCGGTTGCCACCACTGTGGGCAATGAGATGAGGGGACCACGCAGTAGAATCACCGCACCAAACCACCACACACTGGGCTTGAAATTGGCGATCAGGAAGTGAACAGCAGGAAGTCGGCGTCGCGCTTTGACGGACCATGCAGGAGCACTCCAAATGGCCCAGCAACACATGATAAAGTGCGTGAGACCCAGGATGAGAATGAATACGGCCAGTGTTTGCATCGTCAAATGGTCAGGACTGCCGCAAAAGATGTTCGGATACTTTGCAATGCTTTTGCGTCCATTAGGATGGCTAAAGCACATGAATGGAACCAGTCCAACATTGCACAGTGTCGTGAACGAGAGCTGGAGAAAACTCCCTGTCACGCCAAGTGTTCTGTGGAACTTCCATGCCAGATTCCTTTTTCGGAAGCAATGGAATTGTGATAGATATCCCAAGCATGGCCAGCTCAAAGTCATGCCAAAGAAGAAGGACACCATCGTCATGTACTGCTGCACGGCGCTGCCAAGTGCACAGTTGAACCCCAAAGAGCGCAAATTGAAAAGAAAGAGAGCAGAGAACTTGAGCAAATTTCGCAGCCCTTCGGGCCACGGCACAAAAACAGAATTTAAAACACCCAAGTTCTGCATAAAGTTCAGTGTCATGTCACAGCCTATTTTGGCGCATTCCACCAAAGAAGCTTTCAACATGTAGCGAGTCTCTGCAAAATAGTAGACTGAAATGATGAGCAAAAGCAATCCGCAAAGGCCACCAATCCATGCAGCTACCAGAGGAATCCTTACCGAAAAGAATCAAAAACAACTCGCCCGGATTCCCCAAAAGCCTCCGCGTGAGGCGTCAGCGGCGTCAGACGCAAGATAGTCACTACACACCGGAAGTGTGAACATGACGTACTCGAGTTACTTGTGGCTACTGTTGCTGTAGTTCAGTAGAGTTCTCACTACACCGGTAATTACTGATCTTCCCACAAAAAGGCCTGCGAATAGCGCAGGTTGATATTTTTGATGAAGCGGTGTTTACATTTGTTTACTAGTTTACTTCATGTCGTTGGTCACCACATGTCACCGATGTCTGCGATGGCTCAATGTGCGGGAGCATTCAGCCTCGCTTTACGCTCCGTCAAACGGGCTCCCTCAAAACGGCCATCCCTGAAAAGACGCCAACATACGCCAACTACATATGACCGTCGCATGATCTTAAGAAAGCGGTCGCCATCTACATTTTACATCATGTTGCCTTTTACTGAATACACAATTAATTACAATCGATTACAGAATGAAAAGGCAAAGCTAAATTCTTGCATGCAGGCTTTGACAGTGCTCAGTTTCAAACAAGTCTCTCGCAGCTTTGGCAACCATCACTAGTGGCATACATGCGAGCAGGACATTCGTCACATGTCGGGCCCAAGCGTACTTCAGTGCAAGAACCTGGGACTCCTCCAGGACAATGCTGCCCGGGGCACTTGTATATTTCTAGCGGTTCCTCTGGCCAACTGAAGTACGATTGCAGAATCTGCGGCCGTTCGCCTGCAGTGGTGTTCTGTCCGTGCATCAGCTGCTCTACTGTGCTTCCACGGGGGCAGGTCAAACCCTCTCCACAAGGTACGCATTGAAGATTGGATTCAATGAGATCGATTTGACAAACGCAATCCTCCGGCTTGCTCGCCCCCAAGAGCAACGTTGTCGTGTCATTGCTGCATGCCACACAGGCTGCCTTGCCAGAAGCGTCTTGGTAGAATCCCACTGCGCAAGGCGTGCACGCAACACTGCCCTCTGTGGCACCTACGCTGCCTTCGGGTTGAGCTAGCAAGAAGAGTCAGTCCAAGTCGCATGATGTCTTATGATGTCCCATGATGAGCGTTTTTTCGGTGCAAAACAAGCCCAGGTATTTGAGGGAGGCTTCTCCCACCCTTTTTTGAGTTACATGGAAGTTAAGATTCGAAGCGTGTACCAAGTATCAGATCACTTCAACTCGAAATATGGCGCTGGTTTAAATCCCAAAGCCGGCCTGGCTGACATTCGTGACAGCGGGAAGCGGCTGCTTTATTCTGGCTGCTGCCAGGTGGACAAGGAGTACAACGGCGGCTTTGGCCGTCAGGGAGATCTTCAGAGAAGGTGCCTGGTGGGCACACATCACAGCTTACGGCACCTGTTTTGGATGACAAGAAAGTACCGTGCTCATCGACCACTCCATAGCCCAAGAAGCAGTTGGTATCAATGGGAATCCACGTTGACCAAATGTGCTCATTCTTTTGGATCCAGCTGCATGCTGCATCCCACCACAGATCCAATGAAGTGATCGGCAAAGTGCGAACGTCGTGAAGAATGTCCGTCAAATCATTGAGGTCCATCGACAATTTGGAAATGAAGCTTCGCAAGCGAGGAGACTTTTGGCGCAAATTTGGGCTTGTCAGCTTTGCAATGTAGGTTCCAGATCCAGAGGTCCTTTTGTTTCCCAAAACCCATTCTGAGGCACGGAAAGGTGGGAATACAATGGATTCTGGTTGGAGTTCAAGAAATGTCGCATCAGGGGTCCACCAATAGAAGAGGGATCGAGTCGTTTTCACAGTTCTGGACCAATCAGCAAAGCTTGGAATGATCCCGACCGCAGCAGGGATTCCATAGGTTGTTGACCACTGCAGCAACGCTTGAAGAAACCATCCATTGGAAGTTGTGACCAAAGGGATGCAGGCCATCACATCATGTCGACATGAAGGCGCCAGCCACCAGTACCCCCCCGGGCCTGAGCATTTACCAATGTAAGTCCCATCAGGCTGCAGTTCTACTCCATCAATATCACCTGTCCAACGGTAGTAGTTGCCCATGTGCTCTTCGTTCATGAAAGCAGTACCATTCGCACAAGCTATCATGACTGAGAAATTCACATCGAAAATAGATTGAAAGTATCTCTTCGCGTCATGATGAGTGGTATTGTAGCTACGGTAGAAATTCAAGGCCAACCCCTCTGCATTGTATGCCTGTTCAGAGACGCCCATTGTCACGTACATTGATTCAAATCCACGATAGCCCATTCCACCCATATCTTCCGGAGCTTGAGACGGGTAAAGGTATTGAAAAGTTGTTTGTTCTGACACGGCAACTCCAACCCAAGCATCGAGAGCTACATGTATCTGCGTCTCTTGTAGACCGCATCTCTTCTCTTCCATCTCCAACTTGTTGAAGTCCAAGCACCCGCCTATGGCGAAAATCGCTCCTGCCGAATTGGCCGCCATCTCTGAGTGCGCCCTCGTGTGCAAACCAAGGACTTCGGTCACCAGAATCTGCACAATCGCCGTCATGATGAAACTGCTCTGCCAAGTGGCCAGGAGTAGGCCAACCGGCATGTTCTCCAATGCATCGTTTTGAAGATATTGCCGTGCGTGATGGGGAACCCCATTGGCCAAACAAAGTGCTACGACTTGTCGGGCATGAAGCAGTGAAACCACAAACAATATAAATCTACTCATTTCTGGAGCACAAAATAACAAGCTGCAGGAACAACCCTTTACTCTGACAGCTGCTTCTCCTGCTCATAATTCTATCTCGAACAAACCAACAAAAATACGCAGTCACTGACGTCTGTGTAGTATTTTTGTTTCTCCACCGCAACAGTTGAACAACCTTCACGGCGCCTGCCACGTGATGTCAGCCATTGTGCCTTTGCATGTCAGGTCAATTGGCAAAGGTCTGAGGCATTTCTATTTTCAGCCAAGGAATCGTTGAGTTTCAATCAATCCCTTCAAGAATTTGGCTGCCAAAGGATGAGCAAAGGGTTTATTCAATGAACAACTGTCGCCCAAAAATGGAATCACGCATCACAAAATTACCAACCCTTTGGTGTTGAGAGAGGCGTTCAAACGACCTTGAGTCTCACCCAGTCCTCCCTCAACTTGACATTTACGATCTCAAGCCGTGCTGGCCAACTGAGCCTCCAACCGCAGCCATCTGGCCATGCCCGCCCGGTACAATTTAAGTTTAAAAATAATCAAAGTGTGGAGCTTTCATAGGTGTTCATTGCTGCATCCTGCTTCGTCCTGATTTGTTTCCCAAGGAGCTTACAACACAAGTGTAGATTGTTTCAGCCTCCTTGAAAGTGTCGCCAACGCCCAACATCAATTTCTTGCAGAACTCACAAATGTTTCAGCCTCGAGTGCATGGAGTTGTGATAGCAAGGCAACATGCCTTGATTGAACACTTGAAGTTTGATCGGTTTGATCCAAGGGGTGGCAACAAAGGCCCTTGTGGTTTTCAACATTGACATCAGGAACAAATCCTTGCATCATCGTTCTTCGCAGTTTTAAAAATATATGTAGACCCGTCCGGGTTCTTCACTCACACATTTGTGTTTTGCAACATAGTGTTTTTGTACTACTGTACCACATTGAATTTAAACCCGACTCGCTGAGAGCAGCCCGGAGCAGGCATACCAGCCAGTCAGTTTGACAAGGCCGCAGCGGCCGTAGTTCGTTCAAGATCCATTCGGGTCGTCCGAGTCTTATGTAAACACACTGCCCGGACATCACCCACACCAAACAAGGCGAGGTCTCTCCAGGTTTCATGTGTTTTTGGCCCTCTCACCTGCTTCCCTGTCATTTGTCCCTTTCTACACACACCTGCCTTTCCTCTTTCCATGTTTTGTCCGCCTTCATGTCCTGTCATTTCACTCTTTTCTTTCTTTTGCGCGCACATTGGTCCGGCCCTTAGCGTGTACGTAATACGTGCACCTGTACGTAATACGTGCACCTGTACATGTAAAAAGGTTACACATGGCCCAGGTTTTGACAGTTTGACACATCCATTGTCCCTGTGCGCTCATACCTTTGTCTTATCTCCTTTTCATGTGTTGGTGCTTCTTGTTGCTGCTGCTACTGCAGCGCGACCATCTTCTTTGCAGCCCGCCGCAGCATTACAATTCAACTTCCCAGTCAACTGGCAGATCGCGACCGCCCCTCCGCCGGCTAGGTTGCCGTGTGGCGAGTGGCATTCAGTTCGGCGCGCGTTTCCATAAGTGTGTCTCTCCTCAGCGAGAGCCCAGGGTGAGCCCGAGGAGTGCCCCCTGTGGCACGTCGAATGGGGTTTTTCGATGTTCCCCGGCTTGGGAACGTAGGTGTCCGAAGCGGACAGCAGGAGGCTTACGCCAGAGTTATTTGCCAAGATTTGCTGAATTATTGAAATTGAGTGGGCTCAACGCCAGAACGCGACCGCAGCGGTCAAAGCAGGCTTAACGCCACAAGGTGGTCACAGCGACCGAAGCCTTTCTTAGGTTCACTGGAACTTGCCTCCACCTTAGGCGCACGCACAGCGTGCACATTCCAAACTAGGCAGGTCTTCCAAGGTCTTTCAACTGAGGTTTGGTTTCATCGGTTCCTGACCCCTCCCTTTGGTTTCCCTTTTCATCCTTTACCCCTCACACACATCTTCTTTCCTCTTTTCTTTCATGTCTTTCTGCCTTCATGTCTTGGCATCTCATCCTTCTTTCTTTTGCGCGCACATAGGTCCAGCCCTTAGTATGTACGTGCACATCTACATCTACTTCAACCTGAGGTTTCAGGTCGCCCATGTTTGACAATGAGGTGGGATTCATTGTTTGCCCCTGTGCACTTGGTTCCTCTTCATCGCAACCACGTACACTTTTGTCATGTCTTGTCACATTAGCACTAACCTTAGTTCTTCTTGCCTCCCCTTGTGGGAGGCGTGTGTGTGCGTGTGCCCCTTGTAGTCACAGGGATCCTTTCGGATTGTGTTTTTTTCAGCAGGGGGGCTGGTTGTTCATGCAAGTACCAGCCCAACGAAGAGGCTTGCATTGAACACTGATATCGGTGGGGACGCTCACCGACGTACCTGCGAATTTTCCGTGTGGCATGAGGCTAAGCCTAGAACCTCAAGACATGATACCTAAGTAGCCGCAGACTTGCACGCCACGACGTCACCTTGTCGGATCGTCGATCGTTCTCTTCCGCTTTGGGCCCTCCTTCCTCTTGAAGACCTCCAGGCTCCAGTGGTTCGTACGTGTACTGTTAGGAAATGGAACCCTAGGCCGGCGTGTGGCGCCGCTTTCAGTTCAGTACACCCTATCCTAAGTGTGTTTGGCCTCGCGCCAACCCGGGATGAGCCCAGGTGGACCCGTCGAACGGGTGTCTGTCGTTGTTTCCAATGCCGTGGAAACGCACGTGCCCAGAGCGGGCAGCAGATGGCTTACGCCGCAAGAATTTGGATGTTTGTCTCATTTTGGAATTCCAAGTTGGCTCATGGCTTTACGTGACCGCAGCGGTCAAAGGTGGCAGCCTTCGGGCAAGCCGTACGTGGTCGCAGCGACCGAAGTTTGTTCAAGGTTCATTGGAACCTGTCGCGAGCTTAGTCCCCCCTCCTTCCCCTTCCCTCCCCTTTCTTTCCTGGCTTTTTGGGGTTTTCCTGAATGGAAGACTCAGGATCACCCCTTTCTTTCTTTGGTGTGTCCCTGGACGATTGTTCGTAGCTGGGAACACCTGCCTTTTACTTTTCTCTCCTCTCCCTTTCTCTCCCTCTCTCTTTCTTTCTTTCTCTCTTCCTCCACCTTCCTTCCTCCTTGGATTTGTCATAGCTGGGAACCCTTCTCCGCTCTTCCTTTGGTGTGTCCTTGGACGCTTGCGTCGTAGCTGGGAACAGCTACTAGGGGCTCCTGGCCTTTCTACTAGGTGCTAGGACGCTACTTTGACGCTAGTAGAGGTTCTTGGCCTTGCTACTACTTTGTCCGCACTTGCGATGGGGAGGCGTGTGTGTGTGTGCCCCTTGTAGTCACAGGAATCCTTTCGGATTGCCTTTTTTTTTAGCTTTTTAGCAGGGGGGCTGGTTGTTCATGCAAGTACCAGCCCAACGAAGAGGCTTGCATTGAACACTGATATCGGTGGGGACGCTCACCGACGTACCTGCGAATTTTCCGTGTGGCATGAGGCTAAGCCTAGAACCTCAAGACATGATACCTAAGTAGCCGCAGACTTGCGCGCCACGACGTCACCTTGTCGGATCGTCGATCGTTCTCTTCCGCTTCGGGTGTGTCACAGCAGGGGGTCCAGGCAGTTGTGAGTTGTCCCTGGACCAACGAAGACGGACTCACAACTGGTGAAGCGAGAAGGGACGCCTTCTTGTGTACCTGCAATTTTCCACTTTCCGTATGGCAGGAGGCTAAGCCAAGAACCTCGATGCTCAGATGTTTTGTCATGTTACCTAAGTAGCCGCAGACTTGCACGCCACGACGTCATCTTGTCGGTTCGTCGCTCGTCCTCTTCCTTTTGGGCCCTACTTCCTCTTGAAGACCTCCAGGATCCAGTGGTTCGTACGTGTACCCTTAGGAATTGGAACCCTAGGCCGGCGTGTGGCACCACTTTCAGTTCAGTACACCCTATCCTAAGTGTGTTTGGCCTCGTGCCAACCCGGGATGAGCCCGCAGAGTGCCTCCCGTGGACCCGTTGAACGGGTGTACGTCGTTATCTCCCCTGCCCGGAGATGTACGTGTCCGCAGCGGACAGTAGCTGGCTCATGCCACAAGAACTCAAATTTTGTCTCGTCATTGGAATTCCAAGTTGGCTCATGCCTCTACGTGACCGCAGCGGTCCAAGCAGCCAGCCATTTTGGCACGGCGTACGTGGCCGCAGCGACCGAAGTTTGTTCAAGGTTCATTGGAACCTGTCGCGAGCTTAGTCCCCCTGCTTCCCCTTCCCTCCCCTTTCTTTCCTTGCTTTTTGAGGTTTTCCTGAATGGAAGACTCAGGATCACCCCTTTCTTTTTTGGTGTGTCCCTGGACGATTGTTCGTAGCTGGGAACACCTGCCTTTTCCTTTTCTCTCCTCTCCCTTTCTCTCCCTCTCTCTTTCTTTCTTTCTCTCTTTCCTCTCCACCTTCCTTCCTCCTTGGGTGTCCCTGGATGCTTTTGTCATAGCTAACAACCCTTCTCCGCTCTTCTTTTGGTGTGTCCTTGGACGCTTGCGCCGTAGCTGGGAACACCTTCCTTCCTTCTCTTTCCTTTTTCTCGTCTCTCCCTACCCCTCCCTCCTGTCGGGACCTTAGCTTGGTTTGCTACTAGGGGCTCCTGGCCTTCCTACTAGGTGCTAGGTCGCTACTTTGACGCTACTAGAGGTTCCTGGCCTTGCTTCTACTTTGTCCGCACCTTTTGGCGCGGAGCTTAAAACATGCCTCCGTTCGGGGAGGTGTGTGTGTGTGTGTAACCCTTCAAATCATACAAATCCTTTTGGATTTTTCAGGTTTGCTTGTGTCACAGCAGGGGGTCCAGGCAGTTGTGAGTTGTCCCTGGACCAACGAAGACGGACTCACAACTGGTGAAGCGAGAAGGGACGCCTTCTTGTGTACCTGCAATTTTCCACTTTCCGTATGGCAGGAGGCTAAGCCAAGAACCTCGATGCTCAGATGTTTTGTCATGTTACCTAAGTAGCCGCAGACTTGCACGCCACGACGTCATCTTGTCGGTTCGTCGCTCGTCCTCTTCCTTTTGGGCCCTACTTCCTCTTGAAGACCTCCAGGATCCAGTGGTTCGTACGTGTACCCTTAGGAATTGGAACCCTAGGCCGGCGTGTGGCACCGCTTTCAGTTCAGTACACCCTATCCTAAGTGTGTAACCCTTGGAGTCGCAGGGATCCTTTCGGATGCGTTGCTTTGAATGTTGAATGATGAGCAGGGGGCATGCGGCTATCACACTAACACATGCCAACGAAGCTATGCCTGATAGTGGAAGCCAGGTGTGATCAACCTGGTGCACCTGCTTTTTGGAACTGTTGTCAAGCTGTCACTCCAATTATCCTGTAATGTGCCAGTGAGTTCCGCAGATGTGCACGAACGCCGTCATTTCGACCTGTTCGTCGTTTCGTGGAGTTGGACTTTGGCCTTTAGCTAAAGGTGCTCAGGTCCCTATCAGGAATATGGTTACCTAGGTTGCCGTGTGGCGAGTGGCATTCAGTTCAGCACGCATTTCCATAAGTGTGTCACACCCCACCTCTGGGACTCATCAGCTCTCTATGGTTCAAATTAATTCAATGCGTGACTGCGGGGGGCAAAGAGAACTTGCAAAGCTCTGCCCAACGAAGCTCTTTGCAATCGTCCTAGGAAGCGGAAGCTGATCACTTCCGTGTACCTGCACAACTTGTGAATTTCCGCTGGCGACGCAGAAACAGTTACATGCTGTTCTTGGCCATTTCACAGGTTTGTTTCTCAGATTGAGGTCGTTCCGCAATAGTCGGGTAATGCAGTGACTATATAACTCTAAAGCTCTAAAGTGTTAGTGCTCTCATGGTACCTCCCTGAAATTGCGCTCTTCCGAGCCCTTATGTGTATGTGTGGGTGCAAAAACTGAAGATTAAGAAAACCAAATCTAGAGTCTAATTTTGGTTGCATATTCCTTATCCTTAATTGATGCCCATCTAACAAATAGTCTAGACACTACCCAAAAAGGATCTTTAAAAAGTGTTCGCCTTTACTTTGTGACGTACCTTTATTCACGTTGTCCAAATGGCTATGCCGCCAAACCCCATCGTAAATGGAAAACATGACTAAAACCTACTCATTTTGAGCCACATGTGTTGCCAAGCCCTCAGACCGTCCTTTGAGGTGTCCAGCGCATTCATTTACATAAATGGTTTCACTTTGAGCGAGACCACAAAACACAAGAGCTTTTGTGGCCCACCTTGAGCGGGCCGTAACGCAGCAACTGTTCCTGCTGCAAAGCTGGAAGACTGGCGGACACAAAATGTCGAACTTGAGCAGCTCAAATCACTGCCTTTCCTGTTGTAACTCCTACAGTGAAATCGCCCGGTCGTTCGCAAGCGTTGTGTTGGCTTAACCTTTTGGGCATGTCATACACTAGTTATACAATAGAGTGAAGTGTTTGAAGTTGCTCAGAGTGCGACTGGTCATTAGTCCACTATGAGGGATGCCATGAAACAAGAGAATCTTCCTGCTGGCAAAGAAATTAGCCGTGGCCCTAAATTGAAATATCATCTGATGGTGGATCTTTCAGTTCATCTCGCTCTTGTTTGACTTCATCGCTGCTTCCACTGGCGATGCTTTCCTGTTGGATCTCGCATGCCTTCAGGGCATGGAAAAATCCAACTGATGCGCAAACAGCAAACAATGCTTCTAAGAGATACGATTTTGCAAATATTTGCAGTATATTTTTGGCATGCCTTTCTTGACACTCCAAACCCTGCGGGTTGAAAATAACTATGTGTCAAGATCCCAGAAACCAGGATCATGAAGATGTTAAATTAGCGTATTAATCAACATCATCCCAGCAGCCCTCTCTAACGAGATGGTCACATGATTGCGAATGGGTGGGTTTCCCAAGACTGCAAAGAATCAGCCCTGACCTGACCTCATCTGAAGACTTCTGGCGCTGCTCTTCACGCAGAGAAGCAAAGCTCTTCCTCGACATCTGGCTAATTCGAGTGGCTGCAATTCGGCCGCGAGAACTCCCGCCACCTCCCAACTCGCAGTCCTGTTCTGTTTGAAGCTTCACACTGCAAGTCAATGATGTGGATGTACAAACCACTTGTCAAGACCAAGTGCACTGGCGCAAAAATGCGAAAGGGATCAAAAAGGTTTTACTTCGCACACCAAGAATCAGTAGACAGGATGTTCAATGCCTTTTGTACGATATGAAGATCATCCACAGACAATGAAGTTGACATTTTGTTGACAAGTTCAGTGACGTCTTTTTTTGCTTTCAAATTGAAGTATATCTGCTCAATGGTCTCAAGGATTTCTTCTGGGTCTGGCAACTGACCCAGATTGACGATGCGAGGTCCAGTGCGAGCACCCGAACGCGAGCATCGCTTTAATACCATTAAGAAGATGGAGAGGACGCAAACGCACAGAATCACCCCAATGCTCAAATAATACACACCAAGGCCAATGATCTCCAAAATCAAGATCGACTCCGGCAGCACAGGCTCCAAATGAAGGGACACTGCTAGCAGCACCAGAAATAGCATTGTTGAAATACCGTCGACCAAGTTGAGGAGAGGGGCCTTCCAAAATCCAAAAGGCAGGGTCTCTCAACATATGCGGGATATTCATTTCACAAAATCCCATTGACAAGAATATCACGCGGCAGATCCTTATCCGAAGCTAACGTACGTGGTCGCATATGTACTGGCCTTCCAGGTTTCGCCATAGGTGGTTCCAATGTGTATATCAACAGATGGTTGAAAAATGCAGTGCTCATGTATACACAGTAAGTGTGGATACAGTGTTCATCATGGGCGAAAACACACACTCTGACATTGGTTTTCAGTGACTCAGTTACCACGTTGGGAAGGAAGGTGACAGAACCGCATGGTGAAAGGTCCGAAAACTTGGTAGGTGTTTCAAAAATCATTGTTGAAGTCTGCAGTGAAGGATCAGTCACTCGGTCGGCGCAGCGCGGCTGACGATCGGCGGTTGGAAGCAGCTGTGGGAAACCTGTTTGAGGGGAGAGTATCGTGATCAACAACCATGGCATCAAAACACAGCAAGGAAGAGTGGAGTAGTGTCACGGCGCAGGTACGTCATCAGGCGTCCCTGATGATATCCTAGGAGCACGTGAGGAGCTTCGTTGGATGGAGCCTCACGTGTCCTCTCCATCCCCCTGCATGTGAATCACGGGTGGAAAAGGTGATCGGTGGATCAGTTGGACGAAACCCTTTGTCCAGGGGTGGACACACACAGGTCGCCGTCTTCGGCGCTTTTTTCAAAAAACGGTGGCAGGCGTGACGGTTGTGTCCTTTTTGGACATAGAGCCTCACTAGCTCGGCAGCAGCAGCTTCAGCGCTGGAGGGTGGAAATGTGTATTTTCGAATGGTGTGGAGTCGTGATTGGAGGCCTGACAGAGCCAAGCGCTGGCTCCCGGCGGTGGTTTTCCAGGGTTGTGAAGGTTGCATGTAGGTGATGGTGCGTTGTGGGAGGTCGATGTTGAAACCCAGGAGATGGAAGTCGTCCACAGGTTCGAGTTCGACCGGGTCGCCAAAGAAGTTGTGGTGGATGAGGGTTTGGATGGCGGGATGGTGGAGGAAATGTTCGTTGTGGACAATGAAACGGTTGTCGACATAGCGATAGCAAGTGAAGTGTAGATCGGTGTGTTGAAGTAAGTTGTTGTGGATCTGATGCCAGGAATGTTCGATGAGTGTGATGGCGACATTGCAGAGGGCTGGAGAGAGCTGGGATCCAATCCCAGCTCCTCGGATTTGCTTGTAGGTGTTGTTGCAAGCCCGGAAAATGCAGGTGTTGAGGGCAAAGGCCACGATGGTGGTGATATCTGATGTCTGGATGGTGCGTTGTGTAGGGTGTTTGCGATGGTGTCTGCCAATATGAGAGTGGTGAAAGGGGTTGCCGGTAGCTTGGACATCCACCGTAAGGGTGTGTGTGGATTGCTGTTGTTGCCAGTGGTGAATGAGAGAGTGAACTGCATCGATGAGTCGGTGTTGTGGGACCGAGTTGAAGAAGCCGACCAGGTCATCGTTGGTGGCGTGCAAGGAGATGTCTGGTGGGGTTTGGGTGAGGTAGCTGTGGAAATGGCGCCAAAGTTGGGGAATGGACATTTGTCCGGGATGTTGGGGGTAAAGGTGTTGAAGGATAATGTCAAGGGCACGGCTCGTGATGCGGAGTAGATTGCCGCTGAGTGACTGGAAGTATGAGATGATGGTGCGGCCTTTCTGCCACTGTTTCTTTTCTTTGAGGTGGACCACGCCGTAGGGAATGTTGAAATCTTTGCGGAAGCCCCATTTGTAGCGGGTGCGCAAAATGGGGGGAACAGTGGCTACCAGGTGGTCGTGGATGTTGGCGGCAGTGAGGTGGGGAAGTGGTTCAAAAAGTTCGGGGGATTGCCATGTATTCAAGGCGCCAGTGAAATATTGGCGGGGGCTTTGGAGTTCATGGTCGGCATGGTGAAGCACTGTGCGTTGGCCGAGGTATTCTTGGAGCTGGCGAAGCAGGCGAGCCGTAAAACGGGGTTGTTGCTTGAGGTGCATGTTGTGGAGGCTCGAGGAATGGCTGCAAGTGTTGCACGAGGGATGGTGGGAGCCCTTGTAGCTTGAGCCATTTTGTGTAGGCCGTCTGGAACGTGAGGAAGTAGCGAGCCTTGCTTGGATAGTAGGTGCTGTTCATGTTGGCGTTGAGAAAGATGCCAAGGTGTGTGGGAAGTTGAAGTTGATCCAGTGTGAGAATGTAGTGGCCGTTGGTGGTGGGTGTGTCAGGATCCTGCAGCAGAGTTCGAAGATGATTGCATGCGCAGGGGAGGTCTGCTGGATCTGGCGGGGAGTGGAGGGTGTCCTCCCATGTGCGGTGGTTATGGAGTTGGGAACGTAGGGTTTTGTGTGCGGCTTCGCGCAGTCGGTGGGAGGGGAGGAGGGGAATGGTCAGGCGCTTGTGCTGCTGAATGGTGGTACGGAGCCACTGTTGGCAGTGTTTGGTGAAATCGTCGTGGGCCAGGAATGGCACTGTCAGTGGAATATTTGGTTTTGGCGGCGTGAGATTGCGGTAGAGGAGGGCTTTGTTGATGATGTGAAGAGCCCTGCTGCGGCCGGGTTCTTCAAGATTGGCGGCCATGCGCCGGATGGCGTAGACTTCAAGGTCCGTGCGACGGCCGCTTCGTAGCTCTTTGGCTGCTTCAAAGGAGGCTGCTGTGTGTTTGGTAAGGTTGCGGAGAAGTGTGAGAGCGTGATGCTTGGTGGAGGTGTAAAGGTGTGGTTCTCGGAGTGTGTGCTGGCGTTGCCGCAGGCGTCGAAAGAGTCGTTTGTGGGTTGCTAATCGGGAGTAGAAATGGGCTCTGTGTTTGGTGAATTGCCAGCCTTGAGCTTTGAGTTTGAGGTGGTGGGAAATAAAGGGCCAGTTGAGTGTAGGCATCCAGTTGGCGATGTAGTGGTGTTCTTGGATCCAAGCTTGGTCGTAAGTGTCGTGGGATGTAAGTTGGATGGTAGTGTAGTGGTGGATGTTGTTGTGTGAGTGCCAATAGCGTAGGGAGAGTTCTGCAGAAATGGGGATGTTGTTCTGGAGTTGTTTGAGTTTGGCACGGCGGTTGCGCTCGCGGTGGGGAATGCCAATGGCTGTGGAGCCAACATAGAAGTGGCCATGTTGGTGGTAGCAGCGTTGAGGCTGGTCAGGATTGAAATGGAGCTTGATGTAAACTGAATTGGAGGAGAGGAAGTTGTGGTAGTGGTATGTGTGGGGTAGGATGTGAAGCTGGCGGAGACGGTTGCGCCATTGTTGTGAGCGACGGGTGTTGGAGGGATATGCGAAAAGGAGTGTGATGTGGATAGGGCCAGTGGCAAAGATGGCTTCGGCGCGGTCGATGTATTGGGTGTGGTGGATCAGTAAGGAAAGTGCTCTGCGTAAGTGGAACAGGTGTTGTAGGGTGGTGTGGCTGGGTTGCTGCTGGGTGAGGGTAGCGAGTCAGCAGCCGATGGCTGCCCCCACACTCACAAGCTGTTGCAAGCTCCGTATGGGTAGGCGATTGACCCGGTTGAGTGGGAGGCCGTAACGTGTGGCCGCGTCTTTGAGCTGCTGAGTAGTGACTTTACTCGTTTGCAGCAAGCGCACGACCTCATTGGCTGCTTCCTGGACGGTAGGGTCGAAGGTGGTGACCCAGTGTTGGATATCGGTGTGATTCCAGCTGTCTGGGATATCATCCTGCAAGGTTGGGTGTGGAGGTTGCAGGACGTCTGAAAGGGCTGGCGGTTTTGGCGCCGGTGGAGTGGGTGCATGTGAGGGGGCGGCCGGTGCTGAGGGGTGGCTGGTGCTCTTCACTGGAGTGAGTGGGTCGCCCAAGTCGTGGAGCTTCTGTCGTGCTCGGGCCAGCTCGTCGGTGGTGTTCTTGAGGGCTCGTAGAGCGGTACCCTCTGCTGGTGCCGGGGAGTGGGTTTGGAGTTGTTGGATAAGTAGTTTGATCAGGGGGGCGTGGAAGGCCCGGGCCTGTGTTGTCTTGCTGGGGACGTCGGTGCCCTGGTTGGTGTGGAGGGTCTCGGCGATGCCGTCTAAGTCGAGGCGTTTCTCGCGGAGCTCTTGGAGAAGGTGGGTAACGAAAACCGACTCCGCAATACTTCTGGTGGCAATAAAACCAGTGTATTTTCCATTGCTAAGAGTGCGGGCTGTGAATTCGGAGGTACCATGGTACGCCAGTTGCCATGGGAAGATGTCGAAGGTCGGAAGCCCTGCCACCCCTGCTTTTCGAGACCATTGTGTGGGTTGGATTGTACGGTAGAGCTGGTGGCCGTGCAAGGTGTTGGAATCCCAATGGTGGTCGGTTTGGTTCCAAGAGTCTTGGATGGGTGGAGTGGGAGATGGGATGTGAGGTGGCGGTGGAGCAGGTGCAGTGCCGGCGCGGGCAGCTGGCGGTGGTGGTGGGCTGCTGCTTGTAGGTCGATGGCGGTGGAGTGACTGGATCGGCTGTGGGAAGTGGTGGTGGCGGTGGAGGTGGGAACTCCGGCTGTGACGGTGGAGCCCGTTGTGGCGGTGTGCGCTGCGGTGGCGGTGTGTATGGTGATGTCGTGTATGGATGAGAGTGGTGGGCTTGATGCGTGCGGAGTGCGTGAGTGAGTGGGCCATAAGTACCGGTAGGGTTGTAGGTGTGGTGAGTTGCAGTGGGAGGTGAAACCGTGGTGTCTGGGTTGGTAAGCTGCTGATGGTGCTGCTGTTGGAGCAAATAATGATTCGAAGTGTCACTGGATCGTTGAGGCAAAGATCACGGGTTGTTGGCTTGAGCAAGCTAAAGGGGCGAGGGAAGGAAAGGTCAAGAAAAGGGTGTCAATCAGTGTAGAGTCACCTCCAAACGGCAGTGTCAAACAGTCATGATTCAGTTAGACATAGTTATAAGACCGACATCGAAAGGAGTTGAGTCATGCAAAGGCACTGTGAGAATGTCGCTGAAAAGGTTAACAAAACTGGCTGGGTCAAAGTATAATCAATGTGGATGAGCGAAGTAAGCAGCCGAAGGCACAAACTGGTTTTTCGTTGCGCAGGGTGAAACTGGTTGTCTCTCTCGGAGGTCTCAGTGGGA